GGCTGGCTGGTAGTAAGCCCCAGGATTCTGCCTGTCTCTGCCTCCCCAGTACAGAGCTTACAAACATATGACACCACGCTTGGCATTTATTTTTTAACGGGGGGTTCTAGGAATTGAACTCAAGTCCTCATGCTTGCAAGGCAGGGACTTTACTATTTCCCCACGCCCAGGATGGAGTACTCAAACACACGTTGACTAACGAACCCTAAGCAGGGAGCCATCATCCTTGTCCTGCTTGTTGGCTTCTCATTCATCTTATTCACTGAACACACTTAGAGGTCCTTTAAAAAACACAAAAAAAACTCATTATGAAAAAATCAACCTTATAGAAAAGTAGACAGAATAATGACCCCTTAGAGGTCCTTTTAATTCAACCCAGAACTGGTTGCCATTTACAGCTGCCAAAGGGCGAGGGCACTGAATGAAAGGGGAAGCATGAACTTGGAGGTTCCTTTTCTTTCTTAAAACAAAAAAGACATTCAGGGCAAATTTTAGAATCATTGACGGTTTCTAGGAAGATTTTCTTTTTTGGAAGAAAAAAGGTACTCTTGTCTCCTTAATTGTTCATCGTGTTCTTTGTCACCAATCATGATACTCTTTGTGGAAAGTATTAATGTACCATCTTCCTGTGTTCAATATTCCCATTAACAATAAAAAAAGCCTAATGAAAATATCTGCATGAAAAGCCCCAAGTGCTAATTTCAGAGACAAATAGGCAAGGAACCAATAAGCATTTCTTCTAAAGTGAATGATGCAAATTAATTGATATCTTAATTGAGCTTCGGCATGGAAAGGATTGGTTAGATTAAATCAGAACTGTAAAACATCTATTAAAAAAAACTTGAGGACATGGCACAGGGGAGGAAGGTGCTACATACACTCTGTTAGAAATCTGTTTTTGTTCGTTTGTTTCTTGAGACAGTGTCTCAATATGTAGCCAGGCTGGCCTAAAACTTAAGCTCCTCCTGCATCAGCCTCCTGAGTGCTGGGATCAGAGGTGTGTGCCACCGTGCCTGGCTTCAATTAAAAATCTCTTATCTTCAATGGGAGAGTTTCAGAGAGGGTCCAAGGAGAATATCAGTTTCCTGGCCAGGTTGGGAACCTGACGCCTAGTCCTGCTGCTTAGCCAATGGGAGCTACAGGTAATGGACATTCTACCCATACCTGCCCCTGGACCTTCATAATACCTTCCCTGTGCAGGACAGCACCTTCCTGTATTTCATTGGGGTTTGTGACCCCAGATAGCAAGAGGTACTTGATTTAAAGTAATGTAGAGCAGCACAGCATCCAACTGTTCAGAACTGACCGTGTGCTCTGGGTATTGCTCTAAGTACTTTACCTGAAATGACTCCGATTAATGTCATACCAACAGTGTGAGGTAGAGATTATAAATAACTCCACTTTACAGTGAGCATATTGAGACCCAGAGAAGCTGAGCAACTAGCCCCAGATCAAACTGTTAATCATGGTAGATTTGGGGTTTGAACTAGAGTCACTGTTCTTAATCACTGCACTACATGATGCTGGGGTGTGAGCTCCAGATGGTCCTGTGTTCCCAAGAACTACTTTCTGTCCTGTTTGGGTCTGGACAGCCTTTCAGAAAAGTATCCCCATTAGAGGGCTTGCACAGCCGTGCCCTGGTTCACTGTACAATTAGATCTGCCCCCCCCCATATCAAGATCAACCTAGGTTCCTCCAATTTTGTCTCTGTGGCTATTGGGACTGTCACTGCCATTGATATGCTATCTACAGTGACTTTACTGTGTGCCTTACTGCTGAGGGTGCTTGGGTAATAGTCATGTGTTGAGTGTAGTTTTATGGGGTCCAAAACTCAGACTAGGTGTGCTTTATAATCCAAAGTAGCATTCTTTGGGTAGGATGCTCTGGAAACTACTACAGGATGCTCACATCTACATTATCTAGGAATAAGCTAGAGTCATGGAGGGAAGGGCACAGAGTTTGTTTCCCATCTTACAGAGGAGGCATGCTGGTCCCTGGATACAATGGGACTGATGGAGGAGAAGTGAGGCCCTACAACCATGTGGTATAGAAAGAGTGGTTTTGGAGTCCAGGGCACACATCCAGTACCTGCCACAACAGCCTGCCAGCTGAGAGAGTGCTGTTGAACCTCTCTGCCTTTGCTTTCCCACCTGTCAATGGTGTGATGCTCACTCACAAAGCAATAGGAACTTCAGAGGTTTCTGAAGTGCTTTCACTTGAAAGTGGTTCCACAAACGGATGACATTAACTAGCCATCCCAGTCCTGAGTTCGGCAGCCTCCCCCAGCTGTGAATCCCTCTGGTGTACTTGATCAAGGTGGAGGCCACATTATCTGTGTGTCTGCAGGGAAGCAGTTTGGTGCTACTGCAGAGGCTGGCTTGGACTCTTACCAAGAGGCTACTTCATCAAGGATATGACCAGGCTGCCTCCTAAAAATCCTGCCCCCCCCCGCCCCCCCGCCCCAAGCTTCCTGAGAAGGTCCTCGTGCTGGGATAGGTGTCAGTCACCAGGGTAACATCCTCTACCCACCTTACTCTGTGGTAACCATGAGCTCTGTGGAGAGCTGGGCTCAGCAACCTGCATTTCTCCAAGCTATCAGCTCACCTTAGGGTGCCCTGCCCTTTTGTGTGAACCCCAAGTCAGAGGAGGGTCTCCTAAACTTTGTTGAGTCCCCACACCCCACCCTTCCTCCTTCGGCTGAGCTCTAGGACCTGAGACCTGAGCCCACTTGGCTAGCAGAATGTGGAGGCAGGTGGCAGGGCCAAGTGGCTATCCAAGAGAGAGCTGTGGCTTCCTGACGGGCACCCAGATGAGGGAAAGTGGGTGGCAATGTGACTGAAACCCGAGTCTCCTCCGGGTGAACGGGAAGTGAGGGCCGCACCCGGGCAGGTGGCTCCGGCTTAAGCTCTGTAGCTTAGCGGCCTTGTTCAACAGCTGCCACCTGTCACCTGCCACCTCTGCGCCTCCAAACGAGGTTTCTGGGGCTAAACCCCGTTCACAGTGCAGAGTTGGTGTGAGGGATGTATCCTGAGTGAGTATTGGAGCGAGGGGAGTGGGGGAGGGGGTGGGAGTGGCCGGGATCCATTACAGGCTGTGGATCACAGTTCCGGGGCCCCTCGACTGGGAAGCCATTCTGTCCACAATGGTTTTTTCCCTCTGGCCTGAGAATTCCTGAATGGAACCCTCTCACAGGGGGCTGTTCGTGTGTGGGTGCGTGCACGCATGTGTGTGTGTGCATGTGCTGTGAATCTGACCTTCTGGCACAATTGCTCTCTTGACCTTCCACCCCGTGAACTTCACCCAAGTTCAGAAAATGGCGATGCCGTAGACTGGAGCAGATCTCACAGCCTTCTCTTTTGTGCCCTCCACTGCCATTCCTGCCCACAGTACAACCCCACCCCCACCCCAGGAATACCCCATGCTGAAAACTGCTAAGCTCTCCCTCAGCCTGACCAAGGAAGAGTGCTGGCCCAGGGAGGCTGACTGAAATGCTGCCCAAGCACTGTCCGCCCCATCAGGACCATAGCTGGGTTGCTTTGAAGGAGAGCTGGCCCCCTGAAGTTTCTGGGAAGGGTCCTGGTGCTAGAACAAGACTTGGTTGCCAGGGTAACTCCCTCCCCACCCCATTTGGTATAAGAGTCCTCCCCTTGCTCAGGAGCTGGTAGCTAGTTAAACTGATGCCCCTACCTCTGCCTTAGCTCCAGTAGGAAGGACTCAGGCTCTTGCATCTGTGGCTTTCTCTACATTTTCTAGAGTGCTTTCCGTGGGATCATCAGGATGACCACAGGAAGTCAGGGATATGGTTCACTTATTGCAGAAAACAGGAAGTGCCCCAACACTGAGCTGGGAACCAGCTCTGACCCAAACTATGCTCAACTTTGTTCTCCTTGTTTCCATTACTGACAGGGCAGGAGCCTTTGCACAAGCCACCCGCAGGTTGTCTGGGCACAGATTCTTGAATGTTACCAGCTTGTATGGATTTCCCCAGTGTAGGCTTGTGAATACATGATTCCGTAATTGAGCAAAACTGGGAAATAAATGAGAGTTATATACATTTAGTCCCCTGTATCTGTCTGTCTCAGATTCAACTAACAGTGAATTGAAAATTATACATATATATATATAATTACATCTGTGTACACGTATAGGCTTTTTTTCTTGTCATTGGTTCTCTAAACAACGTAGCACAACAAGCTATTTCCATAGCATTAGGTATTATAATAACCTAGAGATGGTTGAACGTTATATGGGAACATGTGCAGAGGCTCGATGCAAATACTATACCATTTTACATAAGAGACTTGAGCATTTGGGGGTTTTGGTGTTCATGGGGGGAAGTCCCGAGGGTACGGAAGGGTGACAATGGTGCCTATCAGGATAGCAATATCTCTAAAAGACCGCGTGATGAGAAATGAGATCAAGTCAGTTCAAGCCAGAGGATCGAAAGCTCATTTCCACAGCGTGTTCCTCAGACACTGTGGAAAAGGTCGGGCTCCTTCCCAGCGATTACACCACAAACTTTCAAGCAGCTGCTTATTTCTGTACAATGAAAGAATCTCTCTCTGTATCTTCCATGTCCCTCACCCAACAGCAGGAGGGTCCCCCACAGGTCACCCCCTCCTGCCATTCACACCAGGACATCCCCCACCTAATCCAGTGGGTGGCGGTGCCAACTGTTGTTTCCAGAAGTTTGCCTTGACAGTGGCAGCGAGGGGAGGCCTTCTACCACAAAGAGAATCAAATGCATGGACCTGGGGGTGTCTGTTGCTCTCACCCAGGGAGCTGACCCATCAGTGCACCCAGCTCTGGTGCTGGATGTGTTTCAAGATTCTCAGAAAACTTGAGAGAGCTGTGGCAGCTGAGTTCTGGGGGGCAATCTGATCTGGAAGTCCTCACTTACCCTCATCTCCAGCCCTCCCAGGTGAGTGCTAAGAACCACACAGCACTCAGATCTTCTAGCTACAATTCCAGAGTCTGAAAATGCCTCCTGGTCTTCTTACCTGGATGTTGGACACCACCCAGTGTCTCCAGTATTTCGCCCTGGGAGCTTGCCGGCTGGGCGCATCTGGATCCACCATCACTAGCAGGTAGGTTTCACCCTGTAACACATGTACCGAGAAGTAATGTAGCATTGTGGGTAATACTTGATAGGAGCATCCCAAGAAGTCTTTCCCCGTTCCAGCTGAGGATGCAGCCAGTCTTTAGTGCTTTCCTCCTACTTTGTTCCTGTTCTCTTCACATTTCCCTCATGTTGCTTATTCTCAGAGAAATGAAGTCTATGAAACAGTCTGGGACTCTTGGCCTTGATGAAAGAATAAACCCCACAAGACATATTTACAAAGAACCTGGACTGGTTCCGTGGCACCATGTGTGGTGCTGTGGAGGAAAGCAGTAAAATCTATAGCCGGGCATCTGCCCTCCAGAAGCTTCCAGTACACTTGTAGGTAATTATCTGTTTATTCAGAAAATAAATGAGCACTTGCTCTGTGTCAGCACCACTGAAACACATGGATACCTTCAGCAAGCATTAGCTGAGCACTTGTGTGCTGGAGACTGCTCCAGGTACTAGAGAGCCAACAGAGAGCAAGACAGTAGATCCATACTTCTAGGGAACTGCTATTCTAAGACACAGATAATAAGTATGAACACATAGGAGGGGCTGGAGAGGTGGCTCAGTGGTTAAGAGCACTGGATGCTCTTGTAGAGGGCCTGGGTTTAGTCCCAGCATCCACATGGCAGCTAACAGCCATCCAAACTCCAGTTCCAGGAGATCTGACGCCCTCTTCTGACCTCTTTAGGCATTGCAAGACATGGGTGCGCTTACATACATGCAAGCAATACACTCACACACATAAAATAAAAATAATAAAATTTAAAAAAGAATGAATAGGGGCTGGAGAGATGGCTCAGTGGTTAGGAACACTAGTTGTTCTTGCAGAAGACCCAGGTTCGAATCCCAGCACCTACATGGCAGCTAACAACTGTCCATAACCCCAGTCCCAGGGGATCTGACAGCCTCTTCTGTCCTCCAAGGGCACTGCACAACATGGGCGCACTTACCTACATACAGGCAACACATGCATACACATAAAATAAAAATAATAAATACAATTAAAAAAAATAAAAAAGAATGGATATGAAAGGACGTGTCCAGTTGTGACCAAGGCTCTGTTGAAAGTAAAATAGGGTGGATTGAGAGGGAGCAAGAAGCATGAGAAAAGAAAATGCCTCAACAAGGGAGAGAGGATCTGATGGAGCTGAGGGACAGAAAGAACGCTGTTGTGTCCAAGAGCAGAGCAGGGGTGGAATGGACATGTTGAGTGGGAGGTGGCAGGGATGAGGCATGGAAGACTTTCCTGAGGGAGGAGTAGGATTTGACTTCCAGGGCTGTGAGATCACTCCAGAAATGTGCTGTGATTGGCTTTACATTTTTGGAAGATGGTTTGGGCTTACCAGTAGAGAACGAGTGGTAGGCAGAAGGTATGACAAGAAGCCAGGAGGCTGGGTAGAGATGATAGCATCTTGGGCTACAATGGTAGTGACGGAAGCAGAAACCAACAGATGGCTTAGAGAAGCATTTTCAGGTAGAATCAGGAGGGTTTGTCAAAGCATTAGCTATTAGACCAGTGAGGACAGGGTGGAAAAAGAAACATTGAACAGGACTTCTCATTCTTACCTTGAGCAGTTGGGCATTTTGCTTGGTTTGTTCTGCCTTTGGGGCAGGGTCTTTCTGTATAGCCCAGTCTAGTCTTGAATTCACGCTTCTCCTACCCTTCCCTCTTGCGTGCTGGGATTACAGGTATGGGCCACCGTACTGGGCCTATAACCAGTCTGCTTAATGACACAGAGACTTGGAGAGGAGACTGAAGGAGAACATTGACCATTCTGTTCCAGATCTGATAATGCTAGAAAACAATTAAGTCTGCATATCAGAATCCGGAGGTCAGGGCTAGAACAGCACTGGATGTGTACATCTGGGAGTCACAGACATGTAATCTTTACATCTGTAACATGGTAAGATTATTCACAGAGAGAGTAAACACAGAGAAGAAAAGAGTCCCTTAACTGAGTCCTAGGACATGTTAACATTGAGAAGAAGGCAGCATCTGGCAAAGAAGACAGATGCCAAGGAGGTGAGGGAGGCTTGAAGAGTGGGAGTCCTGAAAGCAAGACAGAAGTGTTTCAAGAAGGGGAATGTGAGGCTGGGGCTGGGGCTCAGTTATAGAATACTTACCTAGCATGCAGGAAGCCCTGGATTTGATCCTTGGCACCATATAAATCAGGCATTGTGGTGCATGCCTATAATCCCAGAACTCAGGAGGATTAGAAGTTCAAGGTCATTCTCAGCTACATAGTGAACTTGAGACCAACCTGGATTATGGGAGACCCTATCTCAAAAACTAAACCAAACGAAAACCCAAAAAAGAAGAAAAAGGTGATCAACCATGTTGACTTTTTCTAGAAGACCAAGATGAGAAACCCAGATATGACAAAATGAATTGGCAACTTGGAGATAACTGTTATCTTCATAAGACCTGTCTCAGTGGAGTTGTTATCTTCATAAGACCTGTCTCAGTCCTCACTGGTCTAATAGCTAATGCTTTGACAAACCCTCCTGATTCTACCTGAAAATGCTTCTCTAAGCCATCTGTTGGTTTCTGCTTCCGTCACTACCTTGCCCGAGTGGGAGGGACTGAGAAGATGTAGCAATGAGGAAATGGAGATGCTCTTAAAGGTGGAGTGAAGGGCAGTTGAGACACAAAGTGGCTGCTTCTAGAGAAGAAATCAAGAATTAAAAAAAGAGATGGATGATACTTGAGGCCGTTTATAAATCGATGGAAATGTAGAAAAGGGGTTAGAGAAGAGAAAGGGGAAAACTGTAAAAGCTAAGACTCTGGAAAGGGAAGGGAACCAGAATAAAACTGGAAGCAGGTCTTTGTTAAGAGCAGCAACATGGCGGGGGTGGGGGAGTGGCTGGAGAGATGGCTCAGTGGTTAAGAGCACTGGTTGCTCTTGCAGAGGACTTGGGTTCAATTCCCAGCACCCACATGCTGGTTAACAACCATCTAACTCCAGTTCCAGGGGATCCAATGCCCTCCTCTGACCTCTGCAGGCATTACACTTACATACATGCAGGCAATACATTCATACACATACAATAAAAATAAATATTAGAAAAAAGAGCAGCAATACAGTTTAAGATGCTGGAGAAGTGGAAGGTATGATGTGAGGAACTCTGAAACTGTCTTCTCATTGTGATTTTCAGTGATTTAGAGGCTAGGTCATTAGGGAAGAGGAGCTATGGGAAATTTGGGGACAGGGAAGAAGGCAGGGAACAGTTATTCAAGGAAGTGAGAAGAGCACTGCATCCACAGTTGCATGCTAGTTAACTATGGTGGTTAGCTTAACCTCGCTAGAGACTTGGGCTGGTGATATGCTGGAAGAACGAGTGAGAGAGGAAGAGTGGGATAGAGGAGCAGAGGCATCCTACCCTCCTCTTGACCTGGACACACACATACCTGCTCTGCGGCGTGTGTTCCAAGTACTTGAGCAGAAGAGCATTTACGAAGCCCTGAGGGAAGGTAGAGGAGGTTGCCTGAATCTACCTCAGGAACCCAGGAAATCTTCAGAGAGGTGTCTTCTGAGCTTGACCTTGAAGAATGAGCAGGGGAAGGCTCAGAAAAAGCTCTCTTTAGACAAAGGACGTAGTGTGTGCAGAGGAGTGGGGCTGCCTGGAGAGGGAGAAGTCAAGAGGGAATCTGAGATTCTCCCCTGGGCAGGTGGTGCCAAGCTGGAAGACAGTGAGCCAGAGAAGTAGGTTTTGGAAGATACGGGTCTTTTAATGATGCTTTCCCAAGACCTCAAAGATTGGCAGTGCACCTGCGGGTGGCAGAGATCTGGGACAACTTACTGAGTGAGAATCAAAGACAGACTATGGTGGAACTTGGAGTGTGGAGACCAGAGACCAGGAGGTCTCTAGAGAATCAGGAGATTGTGGAGTCATAAATTCTGAGTGGATGGGAACAGGCCAATGTGATAGCCACTGGGGGATGAGGACCCACAGACACCATGGTGGTGACCATTGGAGACCGCCGACCACTTTCCAAAGAGGAAACGAGATAAGAATACTCATTAAGGAAAAAGGCAAACCACATATTAGATGGTACTGAGATTAAATCAGAGCATTGGAGGATAAACTCAAATAAGTCTCTAAGGACTCCAAAGGGAAAGAAAAAGAGATGGAAACATTGAGATATGTGTTTGATCCCAGTGGAATCCCACAAGGAGAAACCTGCATATCCAATGCATCTATGAACTAGTTCTAATTAAGCAATAAGAAAACGAAGTACAAATAAAACCACTAAGCCTTCCATTTCCCCCGTTTTTTGTTGGCAAATGACATGATTGTCTACATGGGAAATTTATTTTCAAAACCCCTGAAAATAGCCAAACTGATTTTTAAAAAAAGTAAATTAAACTGGATGCAAGTCTATATAGAACAAATGTGTTTCTATATATTAATAATAGTCATAAAATATACTTAAAAATATAATTTACAGTTGTAATAAAAATCTCAGGATAAACATGATTTTAAAATGTATGACTTATACAAAGGAAAAACATTACTAGATGGGGAGACATGTTGTGCTTTAAAGCTGAAATAAGTGTTTTACAAAAATGTCAATAAAGCTTTAATTCATTTATTAATGGAACATAATTCTAACAAAAATCTTAAGTATATATTTTGAAAACTCCACAAATGATTCTAAACTTCTTAATTAAATTCAAGAAGTAAATAAATTATGTAAGGCAATATTGAAAAAGATAAATTATATAAGGGTTAATATTGACTTTGAAGATGTGTGAAAACATATTATCAAACTAAAGTAACTAGAACAACATGGCAGTGTGAGGTAAATAAAAGAGACAAAATAGAAAATCTAGCAGGAAACTCGTTTCCAATATATAAATCATGTATTTAATGTTTGATGGTGATCTTTAGTATATTATATTTATTATACTGACAGGGTTCTTTCAAATCAGAGGGGAAAAGGTGGACTATTTTATGAATGCTCTGGGGATATCCTACTTTCATCTA